TAGCTATCTAAAGATCTTGCAGCTATTTAAACTTGCTATAGCTATTTAAAGATTTGCACAGCTATTTAATGATTTGCATAGCTATTTAATGCTATTATAGCAATCTAAAGATCTTGCAGCTATTTAAACTTGCTATAGCTATTTAAAAATTTGCACAGCTATTTAATGATTTGCATGGCTATTTAATCCTATCGTAGCTATCTAATGATCTTGCAGCTATTTAAAGTTGCTATAGCTATTTAATGATTTGCATAGCTATTTAATGCTATCATAGCTATCTAAAGATCTTGTAGCTATTTAAAGTTGCTATAACTATTTAAAGATTTGCACAGCTATTTAATGATTTGCATAGCTTTTTAATCTTTGACTTGACTATTTAATGCTATCATAGCTATCTAAAGATCTTGCAGCTATTTAAACTTGCTATAGCTATTTCATCCTACCTTGCTGATTCTTCAGAACAGAGTTTGTTTAGCTGATATGAGGATGAATTCGTTTTTCCTTTTTTCATCTTTTTATCATCTAATATGTTTTACTGTAATAAAAAAAAGCAAAGTAAACAACGAGCAGAGGTTTGTTTGGTTGAGTGAGAATGAATTCGTTTTTTTATGCAATCTTTCTATTATTTAATATCTTTTACTTTGAAAAAAATAAACTACGATCAGGGGTTTGTGTTTGGTTGATAACAGGATGGATTCTTTCTTTTTATTTCATCTTTTTATCATCTAATATCTTTTACTTCAAAAAAAAAAATAAAATAAATCACCAGCAGAGGGTTGTTGGGTTGATGTGAGGATGAATTCGTTTTTTTTATTTTATCTTTTTATCATCTAATATCTTTTATTTCGAAAAAAACAAAATAAACCACGAGCAGGGGGTTGCTTAGTTGATGTGAGGATGAATTCAAAAAAACCAGAACGCAAAACAATGAGTCACGCAGCTATTTAAATAATTGAGTGTCACTGTTGTTTTGTTTGAATTGCTAGCTAACTATGAAAAAAACAGTATCAAAGCTTTTAAATAGCCAAAGTTTTCTTTAAATAGCGATATTTCATTAAAAAGTATCTCTTTTGAGAATTTTAAATAGCCAAAGCTTTCTTTAAATAGCGAAATCTTTAATTAAAAAGTATCTCTTTTGAGAAGCTACGCTTACGGCTCCGACACTCACACCCACATCCACACTCACCACTCACCACCCACACCCACACCCACACTCACCACTCATCACCCACACTCACTCTGAAAAAGAAATTGGAGCTTTGTAGAACCATTTTTGGTTCTGCAGCACTTCCGGAACCATTTAAAGTTCTGTATGACAGTTGAAAAACTAAAAAAGGTTTTGCCCAAAAGCGCTAAACTATCAAAGATTCTGACTATTATATTCAGAACCGAGTGAAGTTTTTTATTGGCTATACTGAACCAAAAAGGTTTTGTCCATTGTATCCAGAACCGAATGAATCGCTGTGTTTTATTATAATGAACTAAAAAAGATTCTGCCCATCATTGCCAGAACCAAAGAAGGTTCTTAATTAATTATACTGAGCCAAAAGGTTCTGTTCATTTTATTCAGAACCAAACGAAATTCTTAGTCTATTGTACTGAACCATCAAAGGTGCTGTCTATTACATCCAGAACCAAAGGAAGCTCTTAGGGTGTGGGTGTGAGTGTGGGTGATGAGTGGTGAGTGTGGATGTGGGTGTGAATGTCAGTGACGTAAGAGAATGGAATATGCACACTCACTCCTACACTCACACTCCACACCCACGCCCACACCCCACACCCACATACCAACACCCCACACC